TTTTTATGTTTTTTACGCTCTTGTTTGTTTGTGTTTGTTGTAAAAAATAAAAAATTTATAATTTACCAGATTATGGGACTCGAAGGCTCTTTTAACACCCGGAAAAGGTATCTGACGTTTACCAGATGGGACTCGAAGGCTCTTTTAACACCCGGAAAAGGTATCTGAGGTGAAGTGGAGAAAAGAAGGGGAATCACTGTCAGTTCTGATCTCCCCCATCCCTGGTATCTTGCAAAAAAGTAGCTCCTGAATACAAAATCACCCCATTTAGCAGGTGTTTCTCTCTGCAGAGTCATCTAGAATGACAATTTTCTAGGGAACTCTTTATGAGTGCTGGACATGGGGGCTTATCATGGCTCTAATAAAGAATATTGCTTTAACTAATGCATAGTTGTAAAGTACAGATAGTCCTCGTTTAGCAACTACAATTGGGACCAGCAACTCAGCCATTAAGCAAAGTGAAACCGCGACTCTGCTTACTTCGCCTTTCCTTTGTTTTACAGACCTGCAAAGGTCTTAAATGTGAGGATTAGTCATAAAGTTACTTTTTCATCACCGCTGTAACTGCATATGGTTGCTAAACAAGGCAGTTGCTAAATGAGGACTACTTGTAACAAGGCTCAACTCTTCCAACAGTTCCTCTTCATACATGATTACTCAGAAGTAAATCCCATGGGTTCTCCTAGGAGCTGGACAAAGGATTACTGATCAAACTTCTGTTCTATTATAAACCTATTAAAGGATCTTAAAGAAACCAGCATAATACTGGCAGTATCTCCAATAGTAAGCCTCCATACCATCCATCTAGGACTGGAATAACAATATTAACCTACCTTACATGGTGGCTGTGAAAAGTATGTAGGGCTGGTTAACACGTAGAACAGAATTCCGTGCTGGAATTCTGAAAGCAGAATAAATACTTCTATAGCAGGTGAATCACATTTCTGAAGACTCTTCGGAATAAGATCTCTCTCCTAGTACAAAGCAAGCACAGCAGAGAAATGCAGGACATTTTCCCCCTGAAATACCAGCAATTAAGCACAATTTGGTTTTTTTTATCATGGGTGAGCATTCCAACAAAGCATTTCACTCTCAGCCAGTTACTATCCATTCTACCATCCAAGAGTTATAGCCCCACTGACTTCAAAAGAGGGCTGCCTTGTGAGTAGAATTGTACAGAATTACTCATATCCCTAGGACACTGCTTCCCAGTTGGCCCTAACCCCATTCTGTCACACAATAATAATGGCACCAACAGTATGCATGGGACTTAGCAGCTATGTTGACGCACTCCTCTTAACTTGGTTACTGAATTAACTCGTTTTCTGGATTCCCAAAATACACTGAATATTACATTATTATTGGATTGGGACAAGTCTCCTTAAGTCAAGCTTGACCCCGGTGGCGTCTTCCAGGGATTCCCTCATGGTTCCCCATCCAAGTACTAACCAGGGGCGTCCCTGTTTAGCTTCTGATATCACCCATACTCAGCTAGGCGTTGCCACAAAAAAACCAGCCTTGGTGGGCACAAATCAAGTTTAACCAGTTGTGCAAATGCATTTGCTAAATCTTTTACTTGACCTTGTTACACACGCTGGGTCACCTCGTCCCTAAAAGAGTAACTGTATATTTGGTTTTTAAGCAGGGCGCGCTGGCCGGAGGGCCAAATCTCCAGATCGCTAAAGGTTTTTGCGAGGTCTAGGGCAGAACTCCCCAATTGGGGGATGAAGACAACGGAAATCCAACAGGTTGAGAAGGCACCAGCTTGGAGGAAGCTGTTCCTCGGGATGCAGGTGCTGGAAAGTTATTTCAAGCCACGAGCTGCAGGCTCCGCTCTGATTCTTCCAACCTCCCCATTTTTCCACCAACGGGCTCCATTGCACTGACCCGCACATTCCTCTGCGGCGCCCTTGTTCCTAGAAAGCCTCGCGCGCGAGCCCGCCGCTGCCCTCCGGCTGTCGCCTGGTTCTCGCCAGCTTCCCGATTGCCAGCGGCGTGACGTCAGAAGCGGGCGGCGAGCCTCGCGCGAGAGTTCCCTTCCCCTTGGAAGGCGCACGAGGAAACGCCTCCTCCGAGCGCCTGGCGAAGAGCCAAGAGCTGCCCGGAAGCGGAAAAAGTTTCGCCCGTCTCTCGTCCTGCAAGCGCTAGGCCGTGCAGCCGCACACCGCCCTCTGTTGGCTACCAGGGGTCCTCTCCAATTGAAAAGTAAGGGACGAGAAGGGCCTGAAAGCTTGGAAGGTACCGTGCCAGCGGGGACCCTGGCACCAGCACGATTCCCCAAAGAGCGTTGTCTTTAGGACTGAAAAGTTCGCGGATAAAATCAGAGACTCTTAGGGTAGCTAAAAACTTGCAGCGTTTGCTGGCAGCGCCCATTTCTGTAACTGAGTGTAAGCCAGAGGGATCGCCAAGGGGTTCAGACGAAGCTTACCTAACCTGGAGAATCAGCATAAACGTGGCAACTGCAGTTTGCGGGGATTAAGGATAGAGAGCAAGATGCCTTGGCCCCACATCCCAAACTTCACTTACGCAGCGATCGGCTTATCTGGGCTGGCCCTGACCAGGCAGGAAAGGGACTTGGTGGTTGTGGCCGATATGGTGGCTGCAGTGTTGATGCGGTGTGCAAAAGACAAAACATCCGTAGGAATGGGACTGAAAAATGAAACTGCTTTATGCCGTTCTACAGATCCTTAACACAATTACGTGTTAACACGTCAACCCGTCCCACCCAGTCAGGCAGAGAGGGCATGTTGCAGACCCCATCAGCGAGGGACTGTCGGCTGGTGGGGCCCAGGAGGAGAACATGGAAATCCATGGAATATGGATGACGCGGCAGGCCTCTGCCCTCCCGGCTTTCCTGCCAGCTTGAGTGGGTGACAACAGTCTTACCCAATCCTGTGGGTGGCTGGCGCCTTGATGACGCTCCCCGAGTGACTGCCAATTTTAACATCTATCCTTGGATCTGTTTATTTTCTATTTATTTAAGATTATTGTATGTTGTAATTTTAATTGATTTTAATTGTTCCGTAAACCGCCCAGAGTCATTTCAACGAGATGGGCCATGACAAATTTGATATATAAATGAATAAATTATACAGATCCTTAACACAATTCCAGTTGTGAGTCAGTTGTCTTGCTGAATCTTGAAGGGGCTCCTTAGGGCAGAAAAGGGCAGCCAAAGCTATGAGGAGTTTGGCAGCTTTTCAGTCTGGAGGAAAAGAAGAAAAAAAGAACTAAGTACAGAGAAATGTGAATGCCTCCCCTGTTATGCATGGATTGGTGAAAGCAAACAGAGCATCTTTTCTTTTTCCCTGTACAACTGAAGCCATTTAACCTCTGCAGGCAAAAAGAAATACTTCTCACAAAACAGTGAAGTCGTGTGGAGATGCAGCCCCTCATTCAGACAGCTTTAGGTGGGAATTAGATAAGTTTGTGGAAGAAAGGGCTGTTTGAATGTCAGCTTCAGGGGAGAGGAGGAGTGTGAAAAAGCACACTGAGCTTCACAGAAGCCCTTTGTTGGCTAGGACGAGAACCAACCATTTGATGTGCTTTGGTCTTAGTCTGATCTGGCAGGTCCCTTGCGTCGTTCTTTATTGATGACTCTTTAATTAATGCGGATGAAATGATGCTCTGTTGTTTTTAACCAAATTACAAACTGCCTTGAAGATCTTTTGCTAGAAAGTTAGGATTTAAAAATAAAACCATGTAAAAAGAAAGAAATTGGAAAAAAAGAAATCTCTAATTTAACTATCTTTTGGGGATAGGTACATGTTGTGTATAGGCCCAAAACTACACCTGATCCCATGGAAACTTTGAAGATTGTAGCCCTTACCACCTGAAGCTGCCTAATTAGTGTCTGGCCAATTTTGGCTGCTCTTGATTAGTACTTGGATGAGAGACCACTAGGAGATCAAAAGTCTGTAGGTAAGATTGAGAAGCCTAAAACAACTCAAAAAAGTCTGAATTACAAAAAAAAAAAAAAAATCAAACCAGACATCAAAAACACTGCAATTTTAGGTGAAGGGAATCGGGTTGGACGTCTGAAACTTTGTCTCTCCAGACCCCACAAGGGTCGAGCTGCGCTTCCCACGCTCAGTGCCGCATTAGGGCAGGCGTCTCCGCGTCCGTCCAACCCTTCATCCGGCCTGTCCTCCGACCCGCGACACGGACTCGCCCCCCGGATCTGGAAGCTCAGCCGTGAGCGGCAAATGGTGCAGACAGGCAGCGGCCAGCAGAGGGCTCGGGTTATAGCGAGAGGGAGGCGGAGGGAGCCCCGGCGCCCCTTCCTTCGCTGTCTTCCCAGGGGGTCGGCGGCTGAGCTGAGCTTTTCGGGCAGGAATCTGGGAACGGGGCCCGGAAGCCTCGGGGGAGAGCTACGCGGCTACCGCTGCAGCCCCACCCGCCAGCCGAGCAGGCCGGCTCCTCGGAGTCCCGCGGCGTCGCCTCTCCCCGACCGGAGTGAGAACTGGCTTCGGGCCGCGGCAGCCATTAAATTCCTCCTGCGCCGTGGTGTAGACGGACTGCGGGCTGCGGTCGAGGCGCGTAAGGCGCTCTTTAAGAGGTAAGGAATCAACCGGGCAGAAAATGGGGTCCTATCAGAAGATGGGGAGAAAGCCAGGCCGCTGGAGGATTATAAATAGAAAGGCGTACCGCTTTCTTCCCAATCTGACCTGGCAGTCAACATTCTGGGGTTGCATATCTCCGAGAATCATGGAAGGTAAAGGTGGGGAGAGATTTTGGAGATCATCTAGTCGCTCTGCCCCTCCAGGAGTTGATCTCCCTAAGCCGTGATTTGTTTGACCATGGTGTACTGCATAAACCAAAATTGCCTGGGCCCAAAAGCTATAAATCATGATTTAGAAATTGCAGTGGTTGGATTCCCACGGCGTGCTATGCCACAAAGAAGTAAATGGAGGGAGGTATCCAGTGGGATCCCTCAGGCTTCTGTTCTGGGCCTGGAGCCCTTCCACATTTCATAAATGACTTAGACAAGGGGACAGAAGGGCTGCAAAGCTGGGAAGGACCATTAATACCTCAGAAGTCAGGCTCAGAGTTCAACAGGACCTTGATAAAAATGAACAGTAGGCCCTATCCAACAAAAGGCAGTTTAAATGAGAAGAAATGCAGAGTTCTGCAGTTAGGTAGGAAAAACCAGATTTGTGAGTACAAGGTAAGTGGTATCTGGCTTGGCAGTAGTACTTAAGAGAAGGATCTGGGCATCCTGGTAGACCACAGATTAGGGACGAGCCAGCAGGGTGATGCGGCTGCCAAAAGAGCCAATGCAGTCTTGGACTGCATCAACGGAGTTGTAGCGCTGAGATCAAGGGAAGTGTTAGTTCTGCTCTATGCTACATTGGTTAGACTGGAATACCGTGTCCAGCTCTGGTCGCCACAATCACAAAGAGATTGAGAAACTGGAAACAGTGCAAAAAAGGGTGATGAAGATGGTGAGAGGCTTGGGGACTAAATGGGCAGAGGGTTGGAGCACAAGATCTCCAAGATCCCTTCCGACCCTATGATTCTTTTGGTTTAGTCTGATGCATGAGCTCAGCTTATGTGAAAACAGCTCCAATTGAGTAATACACTGCCCACTGTTTACAAATATTTTAAATCAATACATATATACATACATTCCACTTTTCAAAAAAGTCAAAGTGGTGTGTGTGGTTTGGCTTCTGCAATGGCTCAGAGAGGCCAGAGTTTCATATAAAGGCCCGATGCTAAATTAAAGAAGCCCGTAATGACTGACCCCTATTACTTATTTGGAAGAATGGGATGTAGAATTCCTGCATCATTTCACTGGGGATCCAGGCCCTGTCCTCAGCCTAGATATGTCTCAATTAGACTAGTATCGTTAGCAAGATAATGTTAGCTGTTCCGTGTGTATCTTTCAAACCTGGAGATACGCTCAGTCCAGCCATCAGTTAAGCCACATTAGTGCAATAGTGACTCTAGTTCTATAGCATTATGCCAGAGGTGATACCAGCTGTGGATGAAAGCCTGCTGCACGTTTGTCCTTTCAAAAACAAATCACTGCTGTAACTTGCAGGTTGAAATAAAAAGAGCAGTAGTGTGTCATGACAACAAAAGGAGCATCAAAAACACCATAAATAGTCAAAACCAACAGGCAGTAAATTAAATTGACCAACAGGCAACACAGTGACAGCAAAGGCCTATTTATTTAAATAAAACATCTTAGGTTGCTGGTGGGATGCAAGCAGAGAAGGAAACGATGGAATGTCTTGAGACAGTGAATTCTGCAGATAGGTTGCTGTCGTAGAGGAAGCCCTTTCAATACTAGAAGGACACAACAGGTGATCTTAGAGACAGGCAGGTTCACGTGGGAAGCGCCTGTCTTTCTGTAGCTTGATGCTGCTCGCAAATAAACTGGCAGCCATTAAAACTGTTACAGTAAAATAATTACATGGGGCCAGTGCTTTATCCCACTCAAGATTTTAATAAAAGTTTCCATGCAGTTTCATGGGTGGCCCAACACAGAGTCCATTACAGTAATCTCGCCAAGGTGTAGCTAAACTCAACTATTTAATAGAAATTAAAGCACCACCTATAGGTTGAATAGAAGCATACCTCTCATAGCTGATACCTATGTATCCCCAATCTATAAACCAGTTCCTGTGGGTCCACTCTTCTCTTACAGAGCTCTGCCCCCTTGTATTTCCAATAGCTGAAATCCTTCTTGATCTTTCGTGTACAGTGGTACCTCGGTTCACGAATGCTTCTGTTCACGAACAGTTCGGTTCATGAACAGCACCGTTCGCAATATTTTGCTTCTGTTCGCGAACACCGCATCAGGTGACGAACAGGATCCGCGGCCATTTTCCCTGCTGACACACATTGTCATGGCTTCCTGTAGGGAGGGGG